GTTTTAATAAAGTTGCCCAAAAGTGAAACTCTTCAGTTTTTTTTTAGTTCTTTTCAAGGGTGCAACAGAGACAACAAGGTGTGTCACTGCTGCGGTTGTCAGATGCAGAGAAGAAGCTGCAGGGTTCATTACATGTCATTCGCTCATTACATGACACTAGTGAGCGAATGACACGTGTCAAGGAGACTCGTTTTTGACACGTTCTCCGGTGCTTGTGAAAAAGCAATAGCAGAAATGTGAGACGACTCTGTTTTGATGAGGTCAAACTCCTGTTTGAAGCATTTGGCTAAAATCTTTTTAATAGGACTGGGTTTTAAGTTGGACCAATCAGTCGTTCCACCTTGCATTGGTATCATCTTTCCTCAGCTCTGCAGTGGGACGGGATGGCAGCTCTGGGTCCCATCCTGTTGGAGGACTGAATCAGTTCATCAGACAGAAGACAAAACTAACCCCAGGTAACGTCTTCCTGGTTAATTCTGACTGCAGTAGCTAACAGAGCCAATAATCCCCATCTATTCCTTCTCATGCTCCCTCCCTCAGTCTCTTATTCATCCATGGGCCCTTCTGTGTGGAGCAGGTGTTACTCTGGCTGTGGTGATGGGCTCCGTGAGCACTTTAGTCTGCAGCAGGCTCCATAAACCCGCCGGGCATTCTGTTTGTACCTGAGTTAAGCCAATAAAACATTTATAACCCCACTTCTTTCTTTCTTCCCTTTCTTCCTTTCTCTCCTTTGAGCAGAACTGAAATGTTTGCTTCTCCCAGGTTGATGCAAGACTGACACACCTCTCCCAAGATTAAAAAAAACGTGTAGAAATTCAACATGGGAGGGAGTTTTTGTTAGTTTCTGATGTATTTTTGTAGAGGGGTCATGACTGCTGTCCAATCACACAGAAAATGACATTTTGGTTCAAACTTGGATGCCTGCAAAATGAGATTGTGTGCATTTCCGTCGCTGGTTGTAGATAATTAATATTTCATGCTAAGAGTGCCACCATCCGCGTACTCAACCTTGGTCTTGACTACATGAATTATGTTTTGAGCATCCTTTCTCTTTCGGGTAACCTGCATGAGACGGCAAATGTCGGTGGGGGACATTTCAATCCACTCCATTACCACAAAGCAATCGTGCGGCGTTGCTGGAACACGCAGCTCCCAGTCGCAATGGACGCATGTTTAAAATTCATCCATTTTCAAGACTCCCCTTCCTGCCTGCAGAGGGGTATTTATGAAATGGGCCTCATCATGCCACTGTAGCTCACAAAGCCTGGGAAGATGAATAGACATAATTAAAAACCCCATAAAGGCGAGAGCAGGGGCTTTTATTACAGTAATATGTGAAGGTCTTGTTTTAATGGGGTGTTTGTTCCCGTGCGTAAAGCTGACAGCGGCGCTGGCTTACTGCCGGATCGACGGCGAGCACCACACCACCTCCTCCCACCGCCATTACACCAGAGGCTAATAAAAACCAATACCTAATGATTCACCAGCAGGAAGCATGACAGCGAGCGGCACACAGAGGCAGCATGATGGACGAAACCCATAAGCTTCTTCTTACAAAAAGCAGAGAGGAGAAAAAAAAGGATGCGGGGAAAAGATGTGGCTCCCAGATAAAGGCGAAACGGGGAAAAGAAGAAATTATGAACCAATCAGTGCTGTCCAAATGCAAGCTGGTTGTCTTCTGTAAGGAACACTGATTGTGGAGTTTCTTTTTCTTTGTTTTAACCACCTTAGGAGCAGTGTCTATTTTTTCAGATCAACTCTGAAATTTTTTATTACTTCCAGCAGATGTCTAAATTTAAACTCTGGACCTGCAAACATATTTTTGTTTAATCTTAGAGGAGGGGGGGAAAGTCATAGTGGTATGTAACTGCAAGCATCTAAAACTTAAATCAAAACATCAAATATTTTTTTTGAAAATGTGTGCTGGCCAAAGCCTGAAAGAGACGCCTGAATAATCCCTATTTTGAAGCTAATAATGTTTTCTAAGATAAAACATTATTAGCTTCGAAACTCTTAACTTGATTTAACTAAAACTGAAAACATTTCTGAAGTCACCAGAAAGACTCTGCTTTTTGTTGTTTTGTTTTTTATGAAAAATAAAAACTTGCCTTCAGTTTTAAGTCAGCCAACTGTGAAAGCTGCTAATGTCTTGTTCTTGCAATGGAGGATCATCATCATTTCCATCGTACTTGAAATCGTCTGCTGAGCGCAGATGTCCAGGCGTTATGGACCCGAGATGACAAGCAAAATGGCTGGGAGTCCTGAATCAGCCATTTTCACAGACAGGATGTGTGACCCTGAGGGCACGAACATGCACACACACACACACACACACACACACGCACACACACACACACACACGTCCAGAGCATATGTGCACTTCTGCACGTTACATGCGCGCAAACCGACCATCAAAAGTAATGGTGTGTGACTGGAGGCAAACTGGGCGAGTTCGCTCATGTCTTGCAGCCATAATGATATCATTGCTGCAGAGTGTAGATGAAGCATGCTGGGAAATATGGTTCCACACCATTGGTGCTCCGCAGATGTTTTCTCGTACCACACACTGGTGGTGATGACAGAAGTGGGTAATAACGTCAGATCTGTTGGCTGAGGCTTTTGATGAGAGAGTACAACATGTGGATTTCCTTCAGACAAGGAAGACGCTGCATTTTCAGCTTTAGATCTGAATAATAATAATCTCAAAATGCTCCAGACATGACTGGAACATTCCTGCCCACCTTGATCTCAGAGCTGCTTTTGGTGCAGCTCGTGGTTCTTCAATGTCTCAGCGGCTGCTGCTCTCGATCGGTTGACTTTTCAGTGTCTGGTTGTCGCTTTGAATCAATCGTCGTTCATGGGGTTCCACAGGGATCAATTCTCTTTAATAGACTGCCTAAATTATCAGGATGTGCTTGACACATTCTTCAGGGTTGATCTATATTTATTCTCTAGTCTTTATGTTCTCACACGTTTTCAGTTCTGCATATTTCTTCTCAACTGCTTATTCCTTGTTTTTGATGACTGTGCTTTTAAAATGCACACAGTTTTCATTTGCCATATGAAATGTAACTTGAGTCACTGACGTAGCGATTACTCACAGGGTTCCTACGAGGCTCACGAATCACTTCATCCAGCTCTGGTCTGTAAAATCCTCATAAACACACAAACATGCACGTTTCCTCTGCCCAGGCCCATAATTAACCCTCTTAATTAAGAAAGAAAAAAGTTACTAACTAAGGAAATGGATTTAATTAGCCTGATCTGAGCCCAGGAACAAATACACGCCATAAAACACACACACACACACACACACCATCCACACAGAAAATAATTAAGCCTCTTTTATCCTGGCTAATGGCTTCAGTGACTCAGAGCCTTTCTCATTAAGACTATCAATAATATGCTGATTACATGCATCCACCAGGCTCCTTTATCAGGGCTCAAAGAGACGAGTGTGTGTCTCTGGAGCTCCAGGGGTGGGACTGTCTACCAGCATGACCTTATCTGCTAAAATAGACATTCAGATAGTTTTGTCTGGGAAAGCGCAAGAAGCCTCACTTTTGCCATGTCTTCGTTTTCCTTGGGAAAGAAAAAAATAAAGTTTATCTTATCAAAGAGGCCACACACGTTTCACGGGGAGGATTTACCTGTGAACTTGTGCTGTTGAAGGGTTTACAGAGCGGAGATAACAGGACCGTGGAGTGACGGCGGACGTATTTGAAGTTACATAACATGAATTGGCACCGTCTGCCCTCTGAGGCCTGAGCACAAGTTAAATCTGTCCTAAATAATGCAAAAAAAGAAAAAGAAAATCATCTAAATTCTAGAAGAGAGAGATATGGAGAAATTAAGAACAAAAAGGGGAAATCATAAGAAAGTATCAACATGTTTAGGTCTTAAAATCTTCACAAGCGTCAGATGTGTGCCGCCTGTGCTTCATTTGTGAGTTGACGCATTTTCAGTTTCTGCAACAGCGCCGTGTTTTCCCCTTTTCCGCCAAAAAGAGTTGCCGATTGTTGTGTGCTTCAACAAAGAGATAATAAAGTAAGACAGACAGGCGTCTGTCACACAGGCAGGAAGACAACGGGTCTGCGCTTTGACCTTCAGTCTCTTCCTGTTGTCGCAGACACTGGGGTCCCTCCCAGAGGACGACAGAGGAAAGCAGTGCCCTGACCTGCACAGCCACACCTTCACCCTCTTCCCATAAAGCATCCCAAACATTCCTCTGGGGTCTGCCATGCTCTCTCTGATCTCCTGTGCCTATTGTCAGATTTGTTTTTCATATATGTTCTAAGGGACTATTGCAGCCACCTATGACTCTGGCAGACAGACCTTTGTGTGGTTCTCAGACTCTCTTTCTTTTGTTTTTTTGTTTTCTGTCTCAAGGCTCGATTCAGCACGAGATATTTGAATTGATTTGGAGCAACTTAAAGTAGAAGAAATGCGTCTGGAGTCTGATGTTGACTCAGTACTGCAGAAGCAAACCTCTAACCACAACTAAATACAAAACACCATAACAACTCCATCAGTTTCTTTTATTATGTCTAATTTCCACAGAAAGAGTGAGAAAGAGATGCTAATAAAGTTTCCAATTGTATGGTGTGATGCATAACCATAATTACAGGTTTGGCTGATGTCTCTGCTGCTCAGCTTCCACTCCTCCATTTTTAATATTAGTCCATGTAACTGATAGTTATTTGGTCTAATATATCAGTTTTGTTTCATGAATATAGATTAGCTCACATAGTGCAAGATAAGTACGCAAAAGGTGTTGAAAGTGAACAAAAGTGCAAATTGAAATATTAGATATATAATATTAGAATCACTGTACTCATAAGTTTTTTATTTGATTTTTATACCAGGAATGATAAGATTACTAGAACTTTATTTTGAAAGACGGGTTACAAGCCTCTCTATGACATCACATGGTGTAAGTCTTTGATGCCTCATCTTCTGTCCATTCTCGAATGCTGTCTGCAGCCGCCGTGAGCCACAAAACCGTCTTCCTATCGACAAGGGCAAAGACATTTAAACCACATCGAATGCTTTATTTTCCTATTGTGAAGGAGCAAAATGGAGCCCCTGTGTGATTTTGTCGGCATGGAGAGAGCCAATCCTGTTGAGGAGGACTGTTGCAAAACCCCCAAAGTAAAACCAAAAAACCTGAAGGTTTTCTTTAGCTTGAGCAACACCGACCTTATAAGCGACGTGTATTACACTACTGGACCTAACGAAGAGCCAGAAGAACCGACTTGGGGAAAAATGGCAGACCTTCGGGAACAAGACTGCTACATTGAAGGGCCCAAAAGACCCAAGGTGAAAGCAGTTCTCTATAACCCCTTTGAGGATTATGAATGTATGAGAGAATTCATGGACTCTCCTCTGAGCTTCAGGGATGATAATGAAGACGTGACAACTAAGACTCCAGAGTATATCTGGAAGTTTGGAGATAATAGTCAAAAATACTACCACTCGTTAGAGCTAGACAGGCCTAAGAAGCAAGGAGTTCTGTTTAACCCATACGAGCACGATGATCGTGGACGAGCGAAGCGATTCATGAATCTGCAGCCCAAGAACGTCAAGCAGAACTTCTCAATTATTGCAGGGAGAAACGACTTCCCAAAATACCTCTACTGCAGACCAAAGCAACAGGAAGTTGGGTTTGAGCAGAGAGACAACTTTGACAGAAGACAATATGTGGACAAACAAGCTATTTCTCCTGGCGAAACTGAATGGGAGTTTAAGGTGAAGCAGCTCAGCGAGCAGAAGTCTCCATCAGAGCATGAGAAATTCATCAAGCAGCTGCAACAAAATGTCAAACAGCTGTGCACGGAAAAAGAAGAGAGAGTGAGAATTATTGCTCATCTCCAATTTGAAATTGAGAAGATTAACAGCAAACTTCATGTCCAGGTTTCTGACAACCTAAAGAAACAGGAGAAGATTGAGCAACTTCAAGAAGAGCTTAAAAATGTCCAAAAGTGTCTTAAGGAGCAGAACGTCATATACAAAGCCCATAACGATGCACTCAGAAAGGATCTCTCTGAGCTGAAGACCAAACTCAGAAGAACGGAAGAGCGTCAAGTTAAAGCAGAGCAGACCTCCCAGAGCTTGGAGCAGAAACTCCTGAGAGAGAAGGAGTCGTCCAGCGCGCTCATGGAGCAGAATTTGAGAACGGCCGGCGACCATCGCGTTGAGCTTCAAGCCGCGGTTCAAAATCTACGAGACCAGGAGGCCAAACACAAGGAAGGCAAAAAGCTCCTGCAGATTGAGATCCGCGAGCTGAAGAGCAAACTTTGCAAAAGTGAAGAACTGAAGGCTAAAGTGGAACTCGGAGTCCAGGGCATCAAGGACGAGCTGCAGAAGCAGAAAGAGGCGTCCGCCAAGCTGCTGGTGCAGCGCTCTGAGGAGGTCGCGACCCTGCGGCGGGACCTTCACATTACACTCCACCATCTAGACCAACAGGAGGCCAAACACAAGGAGGACAAAAGGGCTTTGCAGAGCGAAATCCAAGAGCTGAAAGTCAGAGTGAGTAAAAGCGAAGACGTCAAGGCGACAACGGAGCTCGCCTTGCAGAAGCTCAGGAAGGAGCTCCAGAGAGTCAAAGAGTCGTTTGCTGAGAAAATGAGACAACATAACGCAAAGATGAGCAACAGGAGGGATGCTCAGCAGAACTGTAAAAGAGAGGAGACAGAGGAAGAAAACAACAGCAGCCATCAGCTGCTGGTGATGGAGCAGAAAGCGAAATTTAATGCGGTGAAAAGAAATAAAAAAAAGAGAAGGAAAAGTGTTCTCTAAATGAATGAAGTCATAGCTTCCATGGGCTTTTCTCCGGGTACTCCGGTTTCCATATACCAAAGAAAACAACTGAAACTGGAGCCAGTTCAGCCAAAATTAAATAAACAAACAAATAAATAAATAAATAATGGAGTAATTGGCATCTTCATTTCATTTATGTTTATTCATTCATACATTTATTTATTTATTCCCAGATTTATTTCCACCTGTCCTTTTTTCATTTCCTTATTTTTCTTATACATGTATCCTTTTCCAAATTTCTATTTTCAATTTTCCATCTTTATGTATAATTTTCTTATTTTCCATTTTCATTTATCCTTTTTTTGGGGGGGAAATTGAACAAGGATAAATGAATAAGGAAATAAAAAAAGGGCATTTCAGAAATAAATCCAGGAATAAATATATATAAATGTGAATAATGATGCCAATTGCTGCTTTGCTTATTTATTTATTTATTTATTTTTGCATCTCCATACTCAATATTTCTATATTAAAATATGGAGTAACATACACAATACAAAGTTTACACCACGCTTTGCATTGTGCTCAGCGGTTTCAGGTTTGTTGTGATGTAAGTCCTCCACACAGCAGCTCACATTGGATATATCAGTAAATAGTGATTTGTTGGCAATAACATATTCTTCTCCTCAAACCTGTAACACTCTTTGCTAGTTTTAATTTCGCTTGACAAATCTGTGGTTGGTTATGGATTTGTTTCAGATCAACATTGTCAACTCTTCTTTTTGTTGTCCTGTCTTTAAGTTTCTGTCATCACCCTCAGTACACAGGATAGTAGCATCATCTGTTTATAACAAATTTGATGCAGGAAGAAGTCTTTACAGTCTGTATCCAGCATGTGTGGGGTCTGCTGCAGTGATGTTAGCTGAATCCCTGCTGCACATCTTCTTTGAGTGAAAAGCAAGGAAGTTTTTTGCTGAAACACATTCGGCATTTTCAATTCCAAGCTTTTAAAAAAAATTAAAATTCAGAAACATCTTTGGCCCTGGCCATTTATTGCTGAATCTGTTCACAGAAACCTTATCTCCTCCTTTCTCAAACTTGAGGTCACTTTGCCTGAAGACATTTTTCCTCTGAGACACGGTGATCCAAAAGCAACAGGTCACAAAATAAGAACACAAAGTGTTTGTTGGAAGCGGTTGCCTCCTTCAAACCTGCCAACATCACCATCCGGAACCTCTGTGACCCAAACGCCCACTAGAATCACAAAAGAATGAAAAATAAAATAAAATCCCCAGTCCGGGAAGCTAACGCAGATGTGGGGTGTGGAGAAACAGATGTATTTTTTTTCTGACTGAAACATCAAACTCATCCAGTAGTGAACCCAACACCTTCCTTTGAAGCACCAGGAGGACAAGCACAACAAAAGGCTCCTTTTTCCGCCAATTCCCAACTTAAAAAAAAGAAAAATCAGACAATGGATCAAAATATTCATGCCTCCTTGTTTGATGTGGGCTTGTCTTATTGTGCGTCAATGGCGGCACGAAACAGCAGGAACGCGCGCCGCGCAGAAACTCACACCTTCTCAGCTCTGGGTTCTAATACTCTCCCATTTGTCCTGCAGACCGTGACCTTTAATCCTGATTGGCACGCCCAAAGAGGCAAAAACACGCCGCATCCAAAACACCACCTCCTTTATCATTCAAAGTGTGCCCGCAGCTATCAACCTGAATAAATAAATCCCGCTCTTATCTCACAGAGCAAAACGGGATAAGCGCTCCCAACGGGTGCGGGATGGAGGAAGCTGTCAGCGCCTCTATTTTGGTTCGCTTTAGCCTCATGCGGAGACGGATTCCTGTTTTCCCCTCCCTCTCTCAGATCCGTCCTCCCCGGAGAGTCGTTTTCCCCTCCGTGTGCGTGAGACTCGTGCGTCCCCTCCATCGCCGTCCACGCGTGATCCATCCTTCCTGCTGATCTTCTGTTATCTTTTCACGCTGCAGAGTTTTCCAGGTCAGGAAACGGACAAACGGAATTTCCCAGCTTTTTAATCACTATTTGAGACAATTATGGAAGCCCACTACTGCCACTCTGGTAAAATATAATGTATCATTATGAAACAGCATCTCCTTATGTTGAGATATAATAACTCATTATATATATATGTTTTGTTGCTATGACACTTGTTAACACTTTACACTGTTGAAGAACCTTCACGCACAACTTGGAGGACTCCAAACGCATCACGCGTCATTGTGCCAATGTGACGCGCTTTTTGCGCAGGGCGAGGCCCTTTTTGTCCAGGACAACAAAACTCTTGTTCTTCAATGAACTTTCTATTCTGGGTCTCCTTCTTCTTCCTGTTCGTAGAAAGAACAAAGGAAGCGAGAAGAGAGGCTGTCAGGAGAAGAACAACATTGCCCCCTGCAGCTAAAGAGAATCTCAACATCAGGCTTGTTAATTTTTTTGTTGTTGTCACGTTTAAAGCTGAAGCTTTGCTGTCTTTTACTGGGATTTCATGTGGCAGGTTGTCAAGAAAAATGATGCAGTTTTTTTTTTTTTTTGAAGCAAATGAGGCTCATAAAAACTGGGAGGAACACTGTGATGAAGCAAAGGAAAGAAAAAGCGATTTTATCATAATCACTTTCGATGCTGCAATTTTCAGCTGCACTGTAAAAAAACAAAAGGAAAAAGGTACAGTTGTTCCTGTAAGCTGTACAAATATGCTGGGTTTTTCTTAATATTAGTTTTACATTCCACCAAAAAGTTCCTCTCAAACGTACAAAACTTATATTAATGTGAAGAAAATAAGTTGTTTCTGTAAACCAGACACAGAAAAGTGAACTTTTAACTGACATAAAGGGCATATGATGATTAAAAATTATTCCTTCATGTCCAAATTGATCTCCAGGCACTCCAAAAGAACGTTAATGATAAAACTCAGCACATTTTCTGTTTCAGTTATGTTGCACACCAGAATGACTCAACTTGGTGTCTGAAAAACACACACAAATGATTCAATTTCCAAATGTCTGCAGGCAATTTGATTAGAAAATAGTTTCTGAATGCACTTTGAAGTAGGTTGGATGGATGCATTCTACATCACATCCACTCGATGGCGCAGTCCAACTATTCATAGCTTCAGCAGCGCCATCACTTTTGCACTGCCATTCAAGATGGTTTTTAATATCTGCCAGTTTGTCTTAATAAAAGATAATATTATAAGATTATTGACAGAACCGCCATTCCCCCCAGCTTTATGTCTCCTAATAAGAAATAGCAGCCATGTTTGTACCGGAGAGCATATTCAGCATGAAGCGTGGGCTTCTGCTGTAACCGGATTGAAGTTGAGCTGAACTGTGTCTTCAGCTCAGGGGTTCAGGCCAAGTGTCTGTGAGCAAACATGTGTTGGGAACCAGTTCCTCCCCCCGGTACTGTATTTGTGAACAAACACTCACACACACACACTGAACCACTGCCCACTCTCACCCATAAATACATTTCCACTGCAAATCACACAGCAAATAAATCACCATGGTTACAGTAATGCAATAATTGGCGCGCTCGAAGTATCGGCTTTGACTGATGCTGGATGCAGAGCCACTTGGAAATTAGCGATTACAAGGAGAACGGTTCAATACTTGATTCATTTAGCGTGGAACTCAACGCTCAAGGTGTCTGTTTGACTCTGGGCCAGATGTGACAATGTCTTACTCTGATGACTTTTATCAAAGTTATTATTAAAACATGAAGGAATCTACACAACCAGCATGAGAGAGAACCGTAGACAGACTAAAACACCTGCACCAGGAGAACTTCCTGCGTAAAAGAACATCACACAGAGTTAATAAATGCAAATGCCGTATCAATGGCGTAGAAATAATTATACTGTATGGAAAGAAAATCAACTGTAGTACTTTTATTACCAATTAGTGCCAATTAGTACCTTGTTGTTATTGTGCTCCAGTTTTTTGTTTTTGTTTTGTTTTTTGGGGGTTTTCAGTGCCAAGCAAAATGACTGGCCTTTCTGGATTGGCTGCTTTGAAAACACCAACAGATAGCATTGTGATTAAATGTTCCAGCTGGACACACTGCATTTTCTGTTCAACATTTTTGATTTTAAAATGTGGGAGTTACATATCAGGAAAAATTGATTGTGCAAAAGCTCAAATACGAGTCGACGGCCCGCTGGACCCTACGTCCATAGACGTAGCTTAAAGTATACAGATTCAGCCAGGGGTACTTTCCAAAGTTGGCGTGGGAAACCGATGGGCTAGTGTGAGGTTGGTCGTTACCGTTTTATGTTCTGCAGAACAGCTTGAACCTGCGGTGGTCCAGTTTTGATCTAATCACATACAGACTGAACACCACTCCATGCAAGGCAGTCTCCAAACTTTCATTCCTTCTCCGTCCGCCGATGACTCAACGCCATTTGCGGCCTTTCAGAGAGAAGAAAACCTAATTACTCCCCCCTAACTCCACCTTGTTTTTAATGAGAGTTCAGAGAAAAGACGGAGTGTGTGCAGACATGTGTGAGTTTGCGTAATTAGCTAACTTCTCTGTGATCTTAAATGCATTATTGGATATTTCAAAGGAGTCTCAATCCTTTGAGCTAAGTGGCTGCCAAGTAGGAGCAAAGGGGCCAGTTTGGCTGTAATGAAGGGCGGATCGGCCATTAGGGAGTCTGGGTCGACTTGATGGCCTTGTGTGAACCTGAAGCTCATGAATAATAGAAATCCCCCTACTGTATTTGGAAGCTCTTTGGGAGTTTCGTCGTGGGCGGAGGACAGTAATGCCTCGCCATTGATTTCGTTTTATTTTTGGTTGAGCAATTTCAGGGAACAGGTCAATTCAATTTCAGCGGCGAACCAACAGCTGGCAGAAAATAGACAATTTGTTGCAATCGCCCCTGATGGAGAGAAACAGTCGGGGTCTCTTTCCGTCGCCGCGTTCCACGCTCCGCAACCTTGACAAGACAATTGCCGGGTTGTCATGGTAATATGGCATTTCTCCTGACATTTTCGAGATTTTCATCTCTCACAATTACTGCCAGTGTGTTTTCTTCTCGGAAATGCCACAGACGGTTATTGAATTTGCTCCGTCGTGGGGTGGCATCTC